AGACTTCAGAACATACATTTTAAGGGGCATCTTCAATATTATTATTTACAAAAATATAACTGAAGTCAGGTATGACTTAAAATGTTTGGAAAACCTTTTCTGAAGAGCTTATTGTTGTTCTGGAGCCCTGGTGGCACAGTTAAGAGTTTGACTGTTAACCAAAATGTATGCAGTTTGAATCCACCAGCTGCTCCTTGGAAACCCTATGGGGCAGTTCTGCTCTGTCCCATAGGATCATTATGAGTTGGAATCAACTCAACAGCAACAGGTTTTTTTTTTTTTTAATTGTTGTTATTAATATTTTGATAGAATGTCAAAACAACATTTTAAGTAATACCACTAGAAAATGCTACATTTTGAGATATCTAATAGTTATATAATCATTTTTGTAGATAAAATACATATTTAACAGAAATAAGCTTTTTTAAATATATGTATACATATATATTCCTAATTTATATGTATTTCATATATACATGTTATTTCTAAATGTTTAATAAACATAATCCTGTGTGTATGAGATTATGTGAGTGCATGCATGCCCAGTAACTATCTTCAGAACCCAAACAGTTTAGACAATTTCTGAAGATGTTTAGTAAGAAGGATAGAGTGAGAGAAATTATCTTAGAATACTAAATAAGATTAGATAGGTATAAACAGGATGATGTCTAGTTTGAGAAGGTTATATATAATTTATCCAAGATTTCAAGCTTTTTCTTAGCTCAATTGAGAAAACCTGAGGAATGATTATTTCACTGGGATTATTCTTTAATGTAATAAATGAAATTACTTCTATTTTCCCTTAAATGTAATTTTTCAGTAAAATAAGTATCTATCTCAAATTATTTCCATTTCTGGATTAAAACATATAATTCAATGAGGTACAGCATCCTAGACTGTTCCTGTAGGTATTATCTTTACCTCAGAAAAATCTTCAGGTAAAGGTGAACCATCACAGTCTGTGTCTTTTGCTCCCTCTTCTGAAAAGTTTGCATTGGTCTTCAATGTACCTGTGAGAGAAATAAACACGCCACGGGGAATTAAAAAAACTACTGAGGCAGTAGAAAATTTCCTTCATTTACCTGCCAAACAAGGCAGTAAATAGTTTCAATGTTCTAACTAAAAAAGTTAGAAGTAAATGGCATGAGCATTAAATTTCTATTTGAACTTATCTACTAAAATCGGAATGCCTCAAGAATAACTTAGTGTCAACTGGGAGAAAATATTTGGGCAAAGATTTCTAAAAGTAACAGCCATGATATTAACGATCCATTTCGAGATTTCACTAATAAGGTAACCCACTCACAGCTATTCTGTGGAAAATAAAAAATAGGAGATAATAAATCCTATATTTATTATCCATCAATGAAGAATAAGGGAAACCAGTAACATATTTTATATTTACTCCAAAATGCTCCCTAGCGATGTCCTGATACTCCTTAGTGTACCAACTTAGTTGTCCTGGCCCATCTACCTGGAACATGGGCATCTCCTGCTGCACTCTTTTGGTTTAAAAGATTCTGGGCCTCCTCATCCACAACATCCAACAGAGCCTGGATAACTTCAGCTTCTTGAGGATCGTCATAAATGTCATCTTCTTGTACATCAGATTCTTGAAAAATAATAATTTACATGGGGTTTTACTTAAAAAACATTGATACGTTAACAGACAATGTGTCAAATACAATACGCTAGGTCCTTTCAACTTTTAAGCACCCACTCTGAAAACCAAGGAGCACTGGTGATGCAGTGGTTAAGTGCTGAGCGGCTAACCAAAAGAGGCAGTTTGAACCCACTATCTACTCTGCGGGAGAAAGATGTGGCAGTCTGCTTCTGTAAAGACTACAGCCTAGGAAACCCATTGGGAAGCTCTACAGGGTCGCTATGAGTAGGAATCAACTCGACAGCAACACGGTATGGGTAACCATCAACGGAAAAGTAGTTTGCATTAATAAGTCCCAGTCTTTTTAATGGTAATAGTTCTATTACTACTCTAGCTGCTATGACAAAAGACCACACAATCTAACTGCAACTTGCAAAGAATAAACCAAAATCAATGCAAGTGATATACCTTTTCATGAGACATTAACAATTTAATGTTTATTTTCTTAATTTCAAATAATTCATGAAAGAAACACACATATGGAAGTTATGTTACAGAAATTAATGATATAATAGGTCAGCCCAAATACCCGCAAGAGAAATTTTCTAAACTATTACATAGCCAATGAATTGCTGCTTCACAGAGTACAAGATACACTATCAAACAAAACAGATAATCTTTCCAACCATTTAAAAAGAGTTTTAGTCTCAGAGACGAGGATGGATGTTGGACATTTGTATAGTAATGCAATTAACAATATTAGTTTTTATATTGTTCTTTTATTTCTTTTAGCAATAATCTTTATTTTTAAAGCTACAGTAACATGCAAGGCAAATAAGACAGGCTATCTGATA